GCGTTTAAGCCTCAGCCGGTTTCCATTGTTGTTTTGGTTTGTGAATTTTGATTGATATTTTACTTTTTATTAAGTTTTTGTTCTTGGTCGTTACCGTTACTTGTACGGTAACTGCTTTTCCGTTACTGTTACCAGGAACGGTAACTAAAAAGCAGTTACCGTTACCGAGTAACGGTGGTAACTGGTAACTGTCACAGCCCTAGTCAGGGTGCCAAAATACGTATAATCGTAAAATTTGAGGCTTTATATGCCAGCCATTACAATTCTAGAGATATGTTTGAAGCCTTCGTATTTACAACATAACTTGCGATATCCATTTGACATATATGGTAAAAAATGAGTTCTTAACTCAATGTAGTTCGGTTCGAAGAGAGTCTGAAGGGGCCCCTTAAAAGAAGAAAAAGGGTTAATTAAGAAAAAAGAACGTGCATGAATCACTGAGAAAAGAAAGGAAAAAGAACCGAAAAACAAAGTGTTTTGCTTACTACATAATAAGCAAATAAGATACGAAAGAGATCTTAGCAGTATATTTAGAGTAAAGTGTCCGGAATATAATGGCATAAACTTCCAAAAGTTTGATTTAGTATTAACGGAGAACCATGTATCTCCAATAAAATTTTGTATTCTCTGTTGTATCTGTAGAGACTTGACTCTTTTGCTAGATGCCTACGAGCGCTTTTTCAATTAAGACTTAACTTTCAATTAACTTTTAGCACAAGAAATTTAACAATGAAATAATAGATAAATATTTTTTTTTCATAGCATTTGTGAAAAGTCCCGGTTCTCAACCATTATTGTACTTAAATTAGGGCTTTACATTTTTACGCCTTGATCGATGGCCAAATCAACGTCAACATATAAACGTTTTGTAAAAGAATCGGATATTGATAAAGCAAAAAACGTTTTCATATTAAATAAACATGAAGATGTTACTATAATTTGGTTTGATGATCATATTGATCAAGAAATCAAAGATTTATTACAACAATTACATCATCATCTCGTTTATTGTTCACAATATCAACAGCTAATAAATATAATTGATCAATTACAACAAGAAAAAATTATATTAATTGTATCTGGTCAATATTCACGTCAAACTTTAACGATTGTTAATGATCAAATTGATTCAATTTATATATTTTGTTTTGATTTTCAAACATATCAAGATTTAATTGATCTTAGAAAGAAATATTCAAAACTAATTGGTATATATACGGAATATAATCAATTATTTGAAACATTAGAAAGACATATACATTCAGTACATTTATCAATCTTTAAACTTGTTTCTGATAATAATAAATCAACAAGAAATTTAACAGATGAATATATAGATTATGTATGGTATCAATTATTACATGAAAATTTATTAAGAACAGAAACAAAACAACTTGAAGAATCTAAACAAGAAATGATTGATTATTGTCGTTCATATTATTATAATGATAATAGAAATCAAAAAGAAATAAATGAATTTGAACAACAATATGATTCATCAAAAGTTATTGAATGGTATACAAGAAATCATTTTCCATTTAATTTTATTAATAAAGCATTAAGAACAGAAGATCATTATAGTTTATATAAATTAAGATATTTTATTATTAATCTTTCCAAACAATTAAAATCTATTTATGATGAAAATATTGAATTCTATCAAGATATATTTAATCCATATTTAACGGTTTATCGTGGTTTAACATTAGATAATAATGATATTCAACAATTACAACAATCAATAGGAAAATATATATCTACAAATGGTTTTTTATCAACAAGTTTAAAACGTGAAGTAGCAGAATTATTTGTTGCCAATGTTTTATTTATAATTAATATTAGTACAAAATCAAACAAACAAATATATGCTTATATAGCACAATGGAGTAAAATACCTGATGAAGAAGAAATTTTATTTGATTTAAATATTTTATTTCAAATTAATGATATACATAATGATGGACAAAAATGGATAGTATCTATAACAGCAGTAGAACAGAACGAAAATCTCATCCATGACGTTCTAAACAGAAAATTAGAATTGAACCAAATAAATATAGACAAAAATGTGTATGATAAGAGTTACACTATTCAATTAATTAAATATTTTGAAAATTTATTAAAATTTTCCGATAGTACAAGAGATGATAATGAAACAGCAGATATTTTAATTGCATTATCAGAAGCATATAGCAGAGATGGACAAATTGATTTAGCTTTAAAATGTGCTATAAAAGCATATCATCTATCTGCAAAATTTAATGGAATATCTTGGTTAGTTCCATTTAGTTTACGATCGATAGCTGAAATTTATGAAGAAAATCAAGATTATAATGAAGCATTAATTGTTTTTTCATTTGCATTAGATACGGTTCATGTCTCTGATGTTGAACAGATCGAAGAATTACATTATGATATTGGTAAAATATTTTTTATAGAACAAAACTATCATTTAGCATATAAACATTTTCAACAATCATTAGAATATTTACATATTACAGATCGTCCATTGTATTTGCTCATTGCTGATAGATATGACTACGTTGGTCAAGTGTATGAAAAACTAATACATTACAATAAAGCGATTGAATATTATAATAAATCATTACAAATGAAAATGATTAATTTACCATTGAATCATTTAAGTTATCAAAAAAATGATTATAGATTTGCTTATGTTTATTATTTAATGAAACGATATGATTTATGTTATGAATATTCTGTAAAAGCATTATCAGTAAATGAACATGAAGAAATTGTAGTACATGCAAATTTTAAGGATAATATTACTTAGGGCATACCAAAAGTAGTGGCAGTGGTATTTTTATCCCTTATAGAAAGGTTAAAGAAACTTTCTTTTTATATAGTCTGATAGAGAAAAGAATGTTCTATTTTTCTATGCTATTTGA